TGTCTCCTCCCATGCCCTAATTGCAGAGCAGGATTAGGATTATTTTTGCCAGTGCTGGAGTAAATCCAAGCAGCATGCGCTCGCCTTCAGAGGGCAGCACAGCTTGGAAAAACGTTCAGAGGCGCTTTTTCATTCCACAGCCCTCGGCGGGTTTTTCTGTCAGTTCTGCATGAAAAGAGATTGTGCCCCCTCAGGACAGCTCCGTCAGACAGCGCAGTCTAAGGGGCTACTAAAATGTTGGCAACAACAAGTTAAAAGTTGCAAAGCCATCGTGCTTCGTGGCCTCTTTCCAGGCAAAGTATTATTTATTTACCTTTTTGCTTCCTCCCCATTGTGGTTAGCAAGATGCTACACTGGAAGCAGAGTGGCTGCTCCCTGCTCTCTCCCTCCCACTGATGTGCATCTCTTTTATGTTCCCTCTAAAGAGGGTCATCTCGGCTGTTTGAAGAACTCTGTGCTCTATTAAAAAGTCCAGCAGGACCAGATGCGCTCGCAAATGGTCATTTCACCCCACACTGTTTCCTGTCTCTCTGAAACAAAAGCCAATCTCCTCGTGAAATTGCTTCAAAAGCACCAGATGAAATAATGAAATTAAAAAATCATGAAGTATATTTCTTTGTTTTCTGGCTTTTGAGTACCTTTTGAAGCTCGCTTAAGGGCAGGAATGATCTCTGAAGAATTGCATGCTGATATACCGCTGTATTTATTTATCTTCAGAGTGTAGAGCTTTAAGGAAATACCAAATATTACAGTGTCACTAAAAAATTGGGGATGAGATTTGTGATCCCAGTTGCTTCCACTGTAAGGAGCACCATCAAAATCCACTGTACCATGATCTCTTTTTGTCTTACATAAGTTGTTCCACTAAGAAGTAACACAGACCATGAGAAAGGCCACACCATAGCCCATGTTGGGGAATTTAATACCTGTGTATTGAATAGCATCCCAATAGCAACATACCAATGCCAAAGATATGGGTAGCAAGACCAAAAACATTAATTAAATAATGCCATGAATGAATTCCACTGCAGTTTTTAGAAAATTATCTAATTATTATTGTTTCCATTATTTAGCTCGTTTGACTCTCACAGATAAAAAACTGGAGGATGTACGAGTTGGAGTTGTACTGGCTTTTATACTAAATATTTATATTCAATCATGACTTCCACTTTAGTTTTCTTGTACTGTTTTCCATGCGCAAAGAGTTTAAACCCTCACTTAAACTCTGGGCTGCATTTTTTTTCCATTTTCCATAGTGTTTTCTCTCATGTGTTGAAAGGAAAGCTCTTAGCCAAAAAGACTGTCTAGTAATTTCAATGTTACGGTGTAAAAATAAAAATGATTGTACAAACTGGTTGTTTGAAGTTCTATTTAACCTGAAGATACAACATTTTCTGGCTGATGCAATGAATTCATCTGAATTGCCAGCAGCCACTATGCATGTTCAGCATGTTTCCAAACAGGTTGTGCTCTCCAGGATTTTGGCTGTGGTTTTTGTCTTTTATTGTTATTGAGCAGTGAGGGAATGCGTAGGCCCCTTAATGAATATGGATAAGAATATATATTTAGCTGGTACCATAAGATGACATGACAGAGCTAGACAGGTTTGCTACAGTAAAAAAAAAAGTTAAAAAAAAATTACAGAAACAGAAAACTAAAACAAACAAACAAAAAACCCCACCAAAAAAACCCCACAAAAGCCAGTTTCTGATTTCGATTGCACCTTTTTATCTCAATAGGTTCAAGTGAATTGCACTGATCTTATTCCCTTCTAATGAAACCATATTAAAAAATCAAGATGAATATCTGTCTTCAAGACATCTGGGGACTTGATCAGGTTTATGTACTTTACCAGGATTTTGGTCATATATAAATACAAGAAAACAAAATTTAACAGTGAAAGTATTACTAAACACATTCTGAGTTAACTCATCTATGTGAATTTATCTCTAGGTTAAGGTGACTTAAAACCCAGAGATAACTGCCTTCCTTATCCACGCTATGGTATTTACTTTCTAGGAAGAGCAACTTAAACTGTATGAATCAGAGAGAAAGCAGCCAAACGGTGTGGTGGTGGGTGGTGGTTTTTCTTTTTAAATTACTGAAATCAAAGGGCTATTGTAAAGGGTCTGTGTAAGCAGAAGTACAAAGTCTGGCTTACTCATCACAGTGAACAAATACTGCTTTGAGGTTTGGATTGTTACGAAGCCTGGTCTGCTTAGGAGAGGCCAAAATGCTGTGTGAACCCTACCTGCTGTAATCCTCTTTTCTGCTGGAAGAAACTCAGATGTTGTCTTCTCAAACCAGCAGCCTGCTGCAAATTGATTTTGAACGGGGAAGTTTATGCTCAAGTACTTATTGGTCCCCTCCTAGGAACCATAACTGCAGTCAGTCTGACTTTTTTAATGTTGCTATCCCCGAGGTTAATACAAGAAAAGATTCTATATATGGAAAGTATTTTTTGTATACTGTGTGTGTATTTATGACTGCTAGTTAGCTAAGACTAAGACTAGGCTCCTGATTTTATATTCAGACTTCTGATGTGACATTCTCTCATCTTGTATGTTATAGCTTTAACTCATTAAAATTACATTTTCTTCCTTTTTTCCTCAGTTAAAGCATCTCATACTGAAAACTACCGTGCTTTGAACTGAGACCTGTGTTCATTCTGTAGTTCTAAAAATAAAAAGTCCCTTGCATGAGCTAGTTGAAGCAGCATTTTATTTTATAGAGATGTGAATACAGTTGGCATTCCAGATTTTCCTGCTGGAGTCAACCCTCATCAGCCACTTGTTCTGACAGGAGCACAGGAAAAAAAGGAGTACTAAGGAAAAACACTCAACCATCTTATTGTGGGACATGAATATTTGCCAGTAGATTTGCTGGTTTGTTTTTTTTTTTTAAATGATTGAATGTGAAGCTGACTTTACTGAGATTCTTATTGCTGGGATTTATTTTCTGCATCCTGTCTGTAGAAAGTCTAATTTGTCTCAATAAAACAGTTCAGTTCCTGAATACTGAGACCAAAGTAATAAAGAAATACATGAGTCTCCTCATAAAGCTACGCTGATTTGTACTATTATGCAAGGTTTTTATCTTTCTTCTGACCTCCTGGTAATTACAGCACTAAAAGCCTTCAGACGTCATATATCTTCCATTCATTAATTGAGTTTAAGCATATAAAGATAAGGATGTAATTGCAATGGAGCTTTTGAGCCTTACTTAGTCAAAACCCATCTATGGCAGCAGAAGCTTTATTTGCTAAAAGGCTGAAGACGAAGGCCCAGAAACCCAGAACTAACACAACGTCAAACCGGTCTGAATTTTTACATGGGTTTTGTGCTAATTTTTTCCTCACTTATTTGCAAAGATTTGAGTTTTCAAAGCACTCAGCCTAGAACGGGTTACATTTTCACCTGCGCTCTGCAATACACGTTCTCCTTTACAAATTTACCAGAGCCTTTGGAAGTGACATGGTACCGACACACAGAAACACGCTTACTAACGCACAGACCAAGTGCTTGTGTCATTTCACACAAACCATCACTCTCTCCCTGTTCCCTGTAGGTGCTCGCAGCTGGAGTCATTACACTTACAGGGGAAGCCGATGGTTCGTGCAATCATCTCTTCCACCCAGTAATTTCAGTATTTTCACCTACTCTGAACAGGCCAAGGATTTCATACAGCTGATTACATCTGCTGCACCAGTGGTTTTCTTTGGAGCTAGCCTTCAGGTAGACAGTTATTTTTGTACTCTGAAATACTAAATCGTGTGCAGAAATTTCCATTTTGAACACAAGTTTAAGAAAAAAGATTTTTATTTGTTGCTTAAAGACAAAATTAATATAAAGTTTGCAATCATACAGAAATTATTGTGCCCCACTTAGAACTGTGGTTGTACAGGTGAATGCTACAGTACCCGAGAGATCAATGATACAAGCAAATAACCTCCAGAAATAAACACAAGAGACCAACAGTATGTAATTGCAGTGGCTCCCAGGCATAAGGCTGTTGTACCATACAGAAGGTTTGTGTATAAAGAGGTTGTGGAAGTCAGCTCAGTAAACGTTGAATCCTTGTACATAAAGAGACACATCAGATATAGATATTTATTGCATATTATACACAGTCTTCCCCCAAGAAGCTGAAGTATTTTTTGAGGATCACATAGGTTTGGCCAGAATCTAATGTCACAGTGAAAGCTTCTGAACTTGCAGAAAGGCACCCATTAGCTTCAAGCACCTAAAACCTCTAAGCCCTGACACATTTTCACGTTTTCAATAACTAAAATGGCACCAGAGTATAAATTTTTAAAATCCTCTTTAGATCATGTGTTTAAAGTTGTTATTAATTTCTTCTCCTCCTCCTCATTCAAAAGCAAGTTTTCTGGCTAATGACTGGAAGGGGTTACATTTGTTTAAATAGCTTAATCCTTTCTCTATTAATAGATGTCTCTAAATAAATGTTATCTGACCTTCTATTTCACAACAGAACTGGGTAAACTCAGCTGTTCAGAAACATGCCTTTTGGTGCCTTGAAGTATTTTATTAAGATATCTTTGAAAAGCAAGACTTTAGGCAAGGAACAGCTTTGCAAGAACATCCTAGTATAAATACATAAGGAATGACTAGATTATTTTAAGTTATTACAACAGGGGGCTGTCAACACAGAGAAACCCATGTGAGGATGCATACAGGGTGATCCTGTGCTTTAAAAGACAGAAGTCTCTTCCAAGAGTATTTCTACTTCTAGTTCAATTTCAAAAAAAATTCTTCTGCCTGCAGTTAAGATTCTCCTAGTTATTACAGAGAACAAGAAAGAAAAATAAATTACGCCTCAGTTTCTCTGGGATTGTCTTAATGGGAAAGGCAGAATCTCAGTCAAGGTTACGAGGAAGTCAAGACAGGAGCATTAACTTTCTACACCAAAATCCAACTCATTCAGGAGCAAAGCTTTTACTGACTACAGCAGGAACTGGTCTGCAAATGCGACGTTCTCTTTTATGGAGAAGCGTATCTGCCAAAGAAAAGTATGCTTTGCGTTGGGTTGTGGCGAATAAAGAAAAGGAAAGGATGGTCAGCATTGAAATCCTCTTCCATAACCATGCAGAGCATAGCAATGCCGGCAGTGGCAGGGGGCGGCCTCCCGGCCTCCCCCGCATAGCAATGCCGGCAGTGGCAGCGGCAGCCTCCGTGCCTTCCTCGTTCACTTCTACAAAAGCCTTGTGGACAATTTTCGAGAGAAAGAGGTCACGTGCCCCTGACATTCCCGACAAGTCAGACTTGCCACTGTCAAATACATCCAACAAGCCCATAGCAGCTAAATCTGATTTAAGGTCATAGCTTTCTTCTAGCTTAAACTTTGGCAAACGCACACGAACATCAGTGGAATACAGATGCTCTGGACATGTCCATTCCTGGAGATTCTCTAAGGTAAGCTGCTTTTCCAGCTAGAATAAACAAGACAGAGATCATTACATATCACCAGTGTAGAAATACTTCATTGTCAGTAACATTTACAAGGCTTTATAGAGTGCTATACAACTATAAACCAACTATACAAAAATGACCATACCCGTATCACTGATAGCTCCATACAGATCAAACAAATGCTGTTAAAATTAAGTGGAGTCAGTGCATTTTTTACTTTACAAAGTAATGCAGACATTTGCTTCTACCTGCAACGTACAGAACACAACAGTCTCACTAAGGCTAAGAAAATAAAGACTTTCAAAGGTAATGAAAGAAAAGTTCTGCCATTAAAAAAAAAATAAATAAGCAAGGCAAGTTAATTCTTGTAGTTAACTTTGTTTTCGCAGTCTCCCTCATGGTTCAGTTCAGCAAGCCAAAGGACACATGAACACAAGCTACAAAACTAGAATGCAACTTCTCTTCCTGATGCAGCATGTGCACGTATTCTTTACTGCAGTGCTAGTAGAGCACTTGATAGATACGTGGCTCTGAGAACATGGGTTCATTAAGGCTTTGATTCTGAATGGCTGAACTTAGTCGTTAAAAAAGTACATTAGCATAGATGAGTCACCTTCTGCAATCCAGTGGAGTCATCTTCAATGTCATCAGGTAACAGGATGATCATACTAAGTTCTCTTCCATCATAAGGCAACTCTAAAACACGGACCTTTACTTCAGGGATATACCCAAAACGAAATTTTTTTTTCTGATACATCATTTTCACTGTCTTTCTTTCATTCTAGATGGATGAAAGGTACCAAAAGTAACAGTTAAGTAAATACTAATTTAAAGAACTGGTAAAAACAAGTAACTTCAATTTCTTTCTTGCAAAAACTCTTCCTCCATTGTATCAAGTGATTATAAAACTGCCTTCATCAGACTCCTGACTGCCTGTTTAATAAACAGTTTATTCTGAAGACATAATGAGTTTGTATTATATTTGCTTCTCCTTTGGCTTCTATAGCACAGTCCTCGCAGAAACTGAAACAATTTCTTCAAGTTTCTGTACCTTTAAATTGCTCCAGCCCCAAAAATGACGACGTTAAAAGTCAACAAAGATCAACTCTGTTCAGCATAAAGCAGATGACTGTATACAGTATCTTGTAAAGCTGTTAACATAAGCAGAATATAGAACAAGAAAATGGGGCTTAAACAAAATGCGTAATCATTTTAATACTGCTTACCAAGCATCACAAACAGGCACAGTTCATAGCAGCTGAAACTGTGAGCAGACAGAAACTCTGCCACACACAGGCAGGGTCCTAATCTATACGTGAGAATTGTCTCTGATGCTATTCCAGTAAGTGAGAGAACAAATAGCTTGGTGAATACAGAAAAATACTCAAATCCATAAAAAACTCTTTTGGGTGAACTGAAAACATTCATGAAAGACTTTGTATTTTTTTATGTTATCTCTAAGCAAAGCTTCACTTTAGCACCTATATTGTTTGACTTTTTTGTTAGGTATATGCTACCAAGAGCTACCTGCATTACCTTATTTAACCGAAATGGCATGTCAGTGGTGTCGGCTTCGTTAAATTTCTCTGCCCAGTCCCCTTTGAAATAAATAGCGTTTACCAATACGAGAACTCTTTTGGGTGAACTGAAAACATTCATGAAAGACTTTATATTTTTTTATGTTATCTGTAAGCAAAGCTTAGCACCTATATTGTTTGACTTTTTTGTTAGGTATATACTACCAAGAGCTATCTGCATTACCTTATTTAACCGAAATGGCATGTCAGTGGTGTCGGCTTCGTTAAATTTCTCTGCCCAGTCCCCTTTGAAATAAATAGCGTTTACCAATACGAGCCTGGTCATGTTATCAACTGAGCCTTCAGACAGCAGATCAGGGATTTTACCTTCAGAGGGGGCAGGAAAAAAAAAAAAGTCACAACAAAATCTTGTAATAAGTTGATGGCATAGAAAACATACATGAAGAAAGTGATGCCATAGAAATAATACAAATATATATCTCTAATCCTTTCCTGTAATTAGGTGTGTTTCAGCACCTGCCTACTCCACCATACTTTTTAATAGTACACACTACTATAACCTTTGATATACAGTATTTTGATGAAAATTTAATATTTTTAGCTTAAACTGTCACATATGATGCATCATACAAGAACTAGAAAACATGCATATTTAGGATTACTGGATTTAGAAATGTATACATAATATGGACCGGGACGGTCAAAAACAAATTCTCCATCTCATGAGTATAAATCTATGTTTAGGCATCTCTTCTGCACTCATTGGCCTGAATACAAAAAATGGAAATGTCTCTGAAGTTATGGAACTGTGTGAATGTTTTGCTTAGACGTTTTCTGGTTCAATGCATCTATTGAATTTCCTAGGGTAAAATTCAACTGTTCTAAAGGAGGCAGAAAATAAAGCTATTCCTGCTGCCAAAGTATGAAATGCTGCCAGTTACTTCATTAACCTAAGTACTTTACCTTCAGTTTTCTCCTCTACCCACTGGTTAATTTCTTTCCTGGCTTCATCATAACCCTGAAGAAAATCAACTGCAGCCAAATCAGCTCCATATAATTTCTGAGTATTAGTCAGGAAATCCTAGATTTTGGAAAGATAAGAATAGCTTTCATTGCAGGCAGATAAGAAAACATCTCTTTATGATGTAGATAAGGTGCATGTCAAACAGATTATGACCCACTCTGAGGTGGGGCTCTAACAGTGCACTGCCTGGGGGGGGTTCTGGGGTTGGGTTAGGTTTTTTTCCCCTTTTCAGAGTAAGCCTCATAGTACATCTGCCACGTATACAGCTGATGGGGTGCTTACTGCAGGTGTTGCAATATTTACCTGTCATTCTCCTGAAACAGGCTCAAGCACAGCTAGGATTAAACAAAATTCTCTGAAAGGGCTGAAGAGGAATAAAAATAGCAACCTAGGCACTCACAAAGATGCGTAATTCACAGACAAAGAGGCATCTTGCTTAGACACGTTGGGCATCCCCTCTCAAATAAATAGTGTTTTCAAAAATATTTAAGTGAAGTGGTACTAGACCAATGAAAATCCAAAAAAGCTGATTGCAACAGACACAGAGCTGGTTGCATCCTAAAAAGCTGTTTGCAACACAGAGCTGGTTGCATCCTAAAAAGCTGGTTGCAACAGAGTAGGATGTTATGATAGTTACTGTAAACTAAGAACCTAGACAAGTGATTTTTCTCTTGAGCCCAAGAGCAGCAGAACCAAACAAGCAATGAAAAGGATTTGCTGTGTAACATCCTTTAGGAGAGATGCAGAGATGCCTACAGATATGGAAAGGCATATGCATGTATGCAACATTTTTGTCAACTGCCCAGTAACATTTAGAAATATGCCCAGAAATGTTTCTGCTTCGTAAATACTCAAGGAGCTGCATTTTTCCCACCAGGTTCCACCACACCACCACGATCCGCACCAGCGTACCGGCAAAAAGCTGTAGGACTTCTCTCCATAAAGCCGATTGGCAAGGCGTAAGAGATAGGGAGCATTGCTTCTGTTTATATCCATAGTCAGAGTCTGAAATCTTGAATGGATACCTTCAACTTTGTCAAAATGAAGCGTCTGAAATAACGGAAGAGAATTAGCTGCTGCTAATAGTCTTAAAAGAATGTACAGTACATCTATATATAGCATGGGTCTGATCCAGCAGGTAGATTGAAAAAAGAGAAAAGAAGAGGCTGGAAGCTGCTTGGAGACTTCTGTATACCTCAAACAATGAATGAAACCGTTTCGTGGTGCTATGCTACCTGTGTCAGCCACTCGTAATAAGCTCCTGGTTTATAGGTAGTCACAGCTGAAGCTGTTCATCATAACCCCGAGTCCTGTCTGCGTGACGTCTGCATGCCTCCCCTCCGTGGACCGCTGGACACGAGGACTCATTCCCAGGTGGGGAATTGAGGAGAGAGACGATGCCATAGAGACAGTTCAATTTTCTTGCTTCCCCGTTTGGCCCAAGGCAACCTGGGGTTTTGCTTTTCAGAACATATAATCAAAACTAGCCCTGGTGAGGCCTTAAGAAAACTTAAAACAATTATCTTTTATGGTTTTATGAAACTATAACTGCAGTATATATGTATATAAACCAAAACTGTATCATCTTAAAAACCAAATGGATGACTGCAGTTTCTCTTTACCAGTAGCTCCTTTCCCAGAGGCAGGCTGGCTAGCCAAGGCTTACAGATACGGCAGCAGGAGCTGCCAGACCTCACTGACAGGGAAGACTAGACCAAAGCAGGGAAATTAACATTCAAACTTAAATCCTGTATTTCTCAGTAGGGAAGACTGCTGTGAAACAGCCACTGGATTCAAAGAAAAGGCCTCATTTTATCTCACTGGGGTTTTGGTCAGGCTTTGCTGCCCGCATTAATGCGGGCTGTCTTGTACATATGAATAGCTGAGCAAAAACATCACGGAGGCAACTTACAATAGGATTATGATCACAGAAACAAGTTTCCATATGCTTGCAAACAGCCCTTGACAGTGATCAATCACTGCCTCCCTAACTAGCTTAGTGAGATGACTGTGCTGAAACACATTTTCTTCCCCAAGTTCCTTTTGCATGAATTCTGCTGTCACTGGGTTTATCCTAGGCGGGGCTGTCAGTTTGATTATATGGCACATACGTTCAAAGTCTGTTTGTACAAAGTAGTGAGAAAATAATTTTATTGTCTTATTCAGTAAGCACTGCACCACTCAACAGTGTAAAGCAGTTCCTCCTAAAGTCCAGAATGCAAAGGTGAAATTATTCACAGGCAAGTACATAATGATGACAGCAATGAGAAGTCACACACGCCCTTTTGCGCCAGCGTGCGTTAGCCTAACAAAGGGGAAAATTAATGGTGACCGAGTCCCTTCCATGCAGGAAGCCTCAGGGGAAACTGGCACGCTCCTACATACACCGTTTTTGCAATTTATAATGAGCTTTTTTAAACTATCCTACCTAACCTAAGGCTATGGTAAGAATAAGCATGTGGGCTCAGCTCCTCAGGTATCCAAGTGCCTGGCTGTTACTAAGATACTGATATTTAAGTACCATCATCATGTATTATCATAGTTGTCATGCTTTCAATATAAAACTATCTATTACCATTATGCTTCTTACAAAATACACAGTGTTATTAGTAATAAGCATACCATTCGTAACTTTGTAGTACAATAGTTCTTTGTAGAAATGTCTCATGAAAACTAGTAAGGCCTTGCTGCCGGGAGCTCCCATCAATTTAAATGGAGACTGATTAATTAATGAAATTATTTTCCTACTTCAAGAATTAACTTAATAAGTGAAATTAAGTGAGAAACAAGGGCCATAGCAAATAATGAAAGAGGGCAGCAGAAGGTAACTGCAGAAAAGAGCCCCTGGAAGATTCACTGAGCATGACAAAAATCTTGTCCTGAGCACATAAAAGTAATACCCTCCTTTCATTTTCCTTCCTCTGAAACACAACAATTTTTAATGTAAATAAAATATAAAGCAAAAGAGAATTAAGAGAATTTTTCCTTTTTTTTTTTTTTTTTTACTAACCTTCAGCACCTGGGCCTCTGTATTGCCTTTGGCCCCCAAAAGGACCATGGCCAAAGCAGCAGAGACACTGACAGGAGAGAAGAAAACGTTTCCTGTTGGGTTGGTCTCATTAAACCTTCTGAGCAGATCAAGTGCAAATCTGCTGTTGGCATTACACAGGTTCTCCATGGTTTATAGCTGAAAAATAAAACAGTCAGTAAGGACTCCGGGAAACGCTCTTCAAAAACCTAACCTAACCTTGTGTGACTCACAGAGTAAAGACTGGATTCATCTGGCTGCAGCTGGGTACAGAAACAGCAAGAATTTCATTGTCAGTGCGTCATCTTCCAAAAAAATCAGTTATATTGAAAAAGTGTATTTTTTTCCATGTGAATTGTATATCCCAACCTACCCTATGACGCTATCTTTAAAGAAATTATTTAAAAAAAAAAAATAAATCTTTGCTTTCTACCTCAAAATAGCAAGTACGTGTGCTGGCAAGATTGCCAGTTAAAAGCCTTTCAGTCTCACAGACCCAGCACAGTGCAGAGAGCTCGCTCAGGCAGCCTCCCCCCCAAACCTTCTACCCTAATGCTGCACAGAAAGCGTTCACGGTAACCGCTCAGGGAGATTTAGACACCTTTCAGCAAGCTGCCTGTCTTTATGGCACAAACCACGGCCACAAAAAAAGGTGTCAATCCTGCCAAAGGCTTAAGTACGCGCTTACCTTCAGCGGCGCAACGCACCGCTATTTTCACCAGCCTGCTCTGCCGAGAACAAGCGAGCTACCTGCGCGCTGCGTCCAGGTACAAACGCACCTGAGTCCCAAGAGGGCTGAGAGCCGGGGGTTTTGTTAGCTGGAGGTGATGTACCGGCTAGCGAAGGCAGCGGCGCAGAGCGGATAGAGCTTTGGGACCGACACCGCGCAGCCGGAGCAGTGATTCATTTTGGTGAAATGCTCCCTGGGAGGCCCTTGGAGCAGGGTGGGGTGAAAGGTGTGAGGGCTGGGTCAGGTGCAAAACCCTACGCAAAAGCTAGTGGCAGTACTGCTTGATGCTGTAAAACCTTCCTGCCCACCCAGCTCAGATTCCTGCTTCTCTCTTGCGGTGGGGACTTCTGCATTCGGTAGTTTCTAGCTCGCTTCCTCAAGAAACAGGTATTTGCGCGCCTGCCCCCAGCAAACAGAGCACCAGCCCAGTAATACCATCACAAGTACTGTCCAGACCCAACTACACGGGGGAGTCTGCGTCACAATCCGAGTATTTTCAGCACAGCCTTTCTACAGGAATTGCAAAACAACAGCATCTGCTTCCACTGCCAGATGGACAAACACCCCGCATCTTTGCAACGTTGGTTTATCTTGCTCTACGCTAAAAAGAAAACAACCAAAAAAACCCCCAAAAGCATAGTTTTACTTTTATTCACTGACACGCCACACCACGCAAGCGTTTCGCAGGCGTTCCCCTAACCCCTGCCGTTTCACAGCCCCCAAGGCTGCCCGAGCGGCTCCGGCCGCCCCGCTCAGACCCCGCCGCCGCGGGGGTGGGGAGGAGGAAAAATTTCCCCTTTTCCTTCCGTTATCGCCCCATTCCTGTATAAAGCAGCCGGGGGTGAGGGACCTCGACCCCCTCCCGTCCCGTTGTAACCCCAGAGCAGTCAAGGGCCGCTTGCCCGCCC